GGACTTTCCTGCCCAGGCTGGCTTCCAACCACTATCCTCAGATCTCAGTCTTCTGAATAGCTAGGATTACAGGCGTGAGTGAGCCACTGGTGCAGGGTCACTTCTTGGCTGTTCTGTGGCCGAGCAGTCCTGTGAGGTGGGGTGGAGAAGGTGGGCTGCTACATACTGTCCTTGCCCCTCTCCTGTCCCCACCCCACCCAGTGCCACTGACAGAAGAGGACTATGGTTCCTCCTTCCCAGTCGTCCCTGGGTAATGTGCTGTTGGAGGAGCAGATTGCACCCCCTCTGGGAATGTCAGCCAAAGAGCAGGCACCTGGCTCTCCCCAGGTGGTCATATGTGCTATGGACTTGATAGGCAGACTGACAGGCGTACATGTGGTCACTAGTCCTCTGTGTGTGTGTGTGTGTGTGTGTGTGTGTGTGTGTGTGTGTGTGTGTGTGTGTGTGTGTGTGCTGGTCCTGGGGCTTGAACTCAGAGCCTGGATGTAGTCCTGAGCTTTTTTAGCTCAAGACTAGTGCACTGCCACTTGAGCCACAGCTTTACTTCCTGCTTTTTGGTGATTCATTGGAAATAAGAGTCTCATAGACTTTACTACCCAGGTTGGCTTCGAATCATGATTCTCAGATCTCATCCTCCTGAGTAGCTAGGATTACAAGCATGAGTCACTGGCGGACTCACCACTGGTCTTAAGAAAGGAGATAAACCAGATGGGCACCAATGGCTCATGCCTGTAATCCTAGCTACTCAGGAGGCTGAGATCTGGGGATCACAGTTCAAAGCCAGCCTGTGCAGGAAAGACTGTGAGACTCCTATCTCCAATAAACCACCAGAAAACCAGAAGTGGTGCTGTAGCTCAAGTGGTAGAGCACTCGCCTTGAGCTGAAGAACTGAGGGACAGCGCCCAGGCCCAGAGTTCAAGCCCCATGACCGACAAAAAAAAAAAAAAAAAAAAAGAAAGGAGATATACCAGGGCTGGGAAGGTGGCTCAGTGGTAGAGTGCTTGCCTTGCATGCATGAGGCCCTGGGTTCAATTCCTCAGCACCACATAAGCAGAAAAAGCCGGAAGTGAGGCTGTGGCTCAAGTGGTAGAGTGCTGGCCTTGAGCTGAAGAGCTCAGGGACAGCGCTCAGGCCCAGAGTTCAGGCCCCACGACTGACAAAAGGAAGAAAGAAAGAAAGAAAGAAAGGAAGGAAGGAAGGAACAAAGAAAGAAAGGAAGGAAGGAACAAAGAAAGAAAGAAAGAAGGGGAAAGGACAGGAAGGAGATACGCACATAGCAGAGACGGAAAGGCTGTGCCACCAGCTGCCCCCACTGCGGCCCTCACCTGTGACGCCTCCTTTTGTCCCTCTCCCTCCTGCCAGCCCTGAGACAAGGAAGTGTTCACTGGGAATGGGAGAGTGGGGAAGGGTCCTCTCTAATGGACTGGCTTGAGCAAGTGGCGCCTTGGGCCATGAGGCCCCCAGTGGACAGCACTGAGATGAGACCTGAGCCCGTGACCAGCAGGGAGGGCCAGGTAGAGGGGAGAGGGCTGCTCCTGCCTCCTGATCTGCTCACCCTGCCTTTGTCACCTCCTCACATGGTGTCAACACCAGGGATACTTTGGGCCTTGCTGGGGCAGCAGGCTGCTTAGCCTCACTTAGTCTTGTCTGCCTCTGTTTGGAAGTGAGTGAAATGCTGCCTCCTCCATCTGGCACTCCTGGCAGTGGGGGAAGACTGCCCTTTGGGGTGATTTTCTAGAAGAGAGGCAGAGAGGCTGGGGTCTTGTGGGGCAGAGCCACTAATGATGGGATGGTAAAGGGCAAAGGTCAGAGCTAGGGAGGCTGAGTACAGCTGAGGCTGCAGGGGGTCCCTGAGTGTGTGTCTAACGTGGGTCTAACAGTGGTTTGAGCACCTGTAGCTCACACCTGTAAGCTTAGCAGCTTAGGAGCTAAGATCTGAGGACTGTGGTTCAAAGCCGGCTCAGGCAGGAAAGTGAGCCTCTTATCTCCAATAAATTACCTGTGGTAGAGCCCTAACCTTGAGTTCAAGTTCCAGAACTAGCACTTGTGCGTACACACACACACACACACACACACATGGTTGTAGTTGATTCTAAGGTGTGATAACCAATCACTGCCTTCTACACCTGCCCCCGAGGGGGCGGGGTAAGTAGTACCATACCCTCACTTCCTAGATGAGGAAACTGAGGCATTGGAAATTTAAATAACTTGCCAGCTCCCACAACCAGCTGGTAGGAATGTGTGTGGGACCTGGGGAGGGAAGATGGTTCTGGGCTCCCTCTGGCTCTTTCCAAGGATGAGCTAGAAAAAGGCCAGGAGGACTGGAGGACACGGACACCCCAGTGCTGGACTGGGCGCCTGGGAGGAGGGATTGGACAGGCTCCAATCACCTGTTTCTTCTCCCTGCTGTGTGACCTTGCATAAGCTTGCTATGCGGAGGTCCCCGCCCATATCCATGAAAGCTGATGCATATGGAGAGGCAGACATATTGTAGGTGCTTAAAAATAGTCCTGCCGGGCCCTGGGCACCGGTGGCTCACTCCTGTAATCCTAGCTACTCAGGAGGCTGAGATCTGAGGATCGTGGTTCAAAGCCAGCCAGGCAGGAAAGTCTGTGAGACTCTGATTTCCAATTAACCACCAGAAAACTGGAAGTGGCACTGCGGTTCACAGTGGTAGAGCACTAGCCCTGAGCAAAAGAGCTCAGGGACAGTAGCTAGGCCCTGAATTCAAGCCCCACAACTGACTAAAAAGAAAAGGAAAAAGGTTGTAGTTGGTTGTAAGAGGCAGTAGAGAGAAGGGTCGTGGCATAACCCTGAGCTGTTGAGACTGTGCTGTAGGAAGAGGTACAAGCTGAGGGCAGAATTTGGGGGAGCAGGGAGTCTTGGAGCTGGCCCTCAGGGCTGACTATGAGCTGGAGTGTCTTCTTGGGTAACAGAAGTAGAGGATGCTGGCGGCTCTTGGGTGCATTAGCAACATCACCATTCATTAAACACCTACTAAAATAGCTTCCCCTAGCACTCTGTAGTCTTCACAAAGAACTTCCTGCCCTTGATTGCTGGCCCTTGCCAGGATGCTTAGGATTTGTTTACTTATTTTCCCAGCCTGGCTGGTCAGTGCCATGCTTGTGGTGCTTTCGTGGCAGGACTGCACTGTGATTTACTTCGTGCCCCGGGGACAAGCGTGTGGGTTGTTTGCAGCCCTTTGCGTTGACCGGCCCTGCCCAGTAATGGCCCTGGGCATTCTCTGTGTACTCTGCTGGCTGCGAGGTTCAGTGGTTCATTCTGGGAGTGGTGGTAGCAGTGCTGGAAGGTGTGTGCGCCTGTGTGCAGAGCCTTCCCCAGCTTCCCTTCTACCCTGGGTGAGATGCTGGCGGCTGGACTTCTACCTTCATCTCCAGATAGGCGCAAGAAGCTGTACTGACGTGCTCTTGGGAAAAGAGCATCAGGTCCTGAGCAAATGGGGGGACTAGGCTACGAGGTCCCCCTAAGGACCAAGGGTCCTCACCCCACCTGCTTCCAGTGTGAGGGCCAGCTGCTGGTCCAGGAACCCCTTCAAATTGGACTGAATCTTCCCTGGGGGGCTTCATAGCTTAGTGTTCAGAGGCTCCATGGCTACAGCGTAGGTCAGGTGGGGGACCCCTGAGCAAGGGTCCAGCGAGGCCGGCAGCTCCCTTTAGAGCCTGGGCTTTAATGTCTCTGTGAAGACCAGGCAATTGGCCTTCTGTGTCCTGTCTTCTGCCGATTGAGCTGTTGTTGCCTGGGGTGGCAGAGGGGAGGAAGGGGGAGCCCCTGGGCTCTGGGGCAGCCATGGCCTAGATTAGACAACTGTGATGCTTGCTGACAGATCCAGGGCAGACATTACCACCACACTCACCCTCCCCCCCCCCCGCCCCACGCTACCCAGAATCACCGTGGTTTGACCCAAGGCGGGGGAGCGCATGCTGGGGACTCACAGGAGACTTGTAGGCCACTAACGGGGGCTGTGCCTTCCTCCGTAGGAAGGCCGTCAGAGCCTGGGTGGCTCAGAGAATGAAGAAGTCCATGTCTGGGCTAGAGGGGAGGGAAGAGCTGCCGGCCTTCCAGGGAGTTGGGGCTCCTACTGAAGTTGGGAAGTTGGTGGGGCTGAGAGCAGGGGTTCTGTGTTAAGTCGGAGTGGGGGGACCTGGGGAGGGGTCCTCTGGACCTTGTGCAAGAATTCAGCTAATTCAGAGTCGACTATGTTGAGAGGAAAGCAACAGGAAAGAGAGACACCCCCTAGGGCCCCAGCAGCTATATTGGAAGGGGCAGACTTAGGGTACCAGCTGGGGATCTGAGGCCTTGCTAAGGTTCCTGGTGCTAGGGAGGTACAAGATGTGTGCAGACAGGTAGGTCTGCCTGCTGGCTTAGGAGCTGTGTGAGTCTAAGAGACAAAACACTGGTTATATAAAGCAAATGCACAAGTATATGGTCCCTCCTTTTTTTTTTGGTTGGTCATGGGGCTTGAACTCTGGACCTGAGTGATGTTCCTGAGCTCTTCAGCTCATGGCAAGTGCTCTACCACTTGAGCCACAACACCACTTCCGGGTTTCTGGCCCGGGCTGGCTTTGAACCGTGATCATCACATCTCAGCCTCCTGAGTAGCTAGGATTACTGGCATGAGCCACTGATTCTGGCTTATGTTCCCTACTTTTAACTCTAGGGGTCCAGGGGCCCATCAACAGTAGGTCCTGTGGTGATGCTGTGGTAGGCTCGCTTGTAGGCGGGCTTCTGAGAGGAGACACCGTAGAAGAGCTGGGACTGGGAGGGGCGGAAGGAGCTAGGCTAGAGATGCGGAAGTGGACATGAGAATGTAGGTTGAATCTTCAGGTTACCATGGAGATGTGAGTCGTCCCTGGACAGGAAGCTCCATCTCAGTGCACGGCTCATGCCATGGAGCCCGTCCCCTGCAGCGGGTCAGTCCCCGGGCATGGACAGAGCGCGAATCCCATCCCTCATCTATGGATCTTTCTCCTGCCTCCCAGTGCGTGAGCAGCCACGCCTGCTAACTACAGTGCCACACCAGCGCATCTCCCCACGGTCTCACCATGTCTGGCTCCTACGACGAGACCTCGCTGGCTGCAGAGGAGACCACTGACAGCTTCTGGGAGGTAAGCCTGGCTTGGGATGCCCAGGTTGCTGCCCACTCTCCCTATGCCCCATAACCTCAGGCCTTGCGCCCCAACACCTGTGCCCTCACCACGACTGCGAAAGCCAGCAGTGTCCAAAAGAGAGCAGCCCCCAGAGCGATCACATGACATTGCATAGCTGGGAAACAAACCCTTCCAGTCTCTGTTCTGGGCTCCCACACTCAGATTCCAGGTACTTCACACAGGCAGGGGCAGCACTTCACAGTTTATACAGCAGCCTTTCCTGGCAGCCCCCCACCCACCCTGTGAGGTGGGTGGGGGTGGGCCACTGAACGCAGTAGGGTGAGCTCAGGACCCCACAGCTGCACATCTCGAGATGGAGGCAGCCCAAGAAGCCAGCCGGGAAGTATTTGAGATCTGAGGGGGAAACTGTTATTGGCTCTGGAAACCCCGCCCTAAACAAAAAACTGCCAGACTTAAATTAATAAGTGTTTAATGAGATGTCTACAACACATAATATTGTGTCAAGAAGTTGCAGCTCAGCTCAACGCCTATATGACTGTATAAATATAATAGATTTAACTCACAGGCACAGCATGAATAATTCATCCTAGCCCAAGTCTAAATTATAAAGCTCCTGCATTTCGTGGTACCCAGATTATTTTTGAAGTGGAGTGAGAGCGCATAGAGACCGTGGTGTCTGATGTGCGGTGCTGGGACCCTCTCAAGGTAAAAGGTGGTGGAGAATGGTCACCAGCCCCCTCCAGCAGGTTGCTGCAGTAGCAAGCGCCCCCTTCTGGCCAGAGAAAAACAGACTGAAAAACAGACTGTGTGTGTGTGTGTGTGTGTGTGTGTGTGTGTGTGTGTGTGTGTGTGTGTGTGTGTGTGTGTGTGTGTGTGTGTGTGTGTGTGTGTGTGTGTGTGTGTGTGTGTGTGTGTGTGTGTGTGTGTGTGTGTGTGTGTGTGTGTGTGTGTGTGTGTGTGTGTGTGTTTTGGAGGCAGTAGAAGCCACTGAGTCATGCCCATGGCTCTACCACCAGGTGGGGAACTACAAGCGGACTGTGAAACGCATCGACGATGGCCACCGCCTGTGCAATGACCTTATGAGCTGTGTGCAGGAACGCGCCAAGATCGAGAAGGCATATGCACAGCAGCTCACAGACTGGGCCAAGCGCTGGCGCCAGCTCATCGAGAAAGGTTCCCCCAATGCCCACCCCATTCTCACCCTGGTACCCTAGGTGTGCCCCCATGTCCGTGGGATTTACCCAGCATCCTCTAGCTGCAGGGCCTTCCACCTTGGTTTTGTATGACTTAGGTTGGGTTAAAAAAATAAAAAGCAAAACCAATAACCTTTTTTTTTTTTTTTGCCAGTCCTGGGGCTTGTCCCAGAGCTTCCTTTGCTGAAGGCTAGCATTCTACAACCACTTGAGTCACAGTGCTACTTGTAGCCTTTTCTGTTTATGTGGTACTGAGGATTCAAACCCAGGGCTTTATGTATGCTAGGCAAGCACTCTACCATGGAGCCACATTCCCAGCTCATCTTCTTTTTTTAAATTTTGAAATAATTTAAGCTTTAGAAAAGTTGCATCCAGAGTACAAAGAGCTAGATACATTTAATATGGTCCATATGGAACTAGAGGTGTGGCTCAAGTGGTTGAGCATCTGCTGTGAGCAAGAGCACCAGGACCTAAAGTCCCCACATTAAAAAAATACATAGGGGCCAGGTGCTGGTGGCTCACACCTGTAATCCTAGCTACCCAGGAGGCTGAGATCTGAGGATCGCTATTCAAAGCCAGCCCACGCAGGAAAGTCCATGAGACTCTTATCTCCAATAAACTATCAGAAAACTGGGAAGTGGTTCTGTGGCTCAACTGGTAGAGCATTTGCCTTAAGCTGAAGAGCTGAGGGACATTACCCAGGCCCAGAGTTCAAGCCCCATGACCAAAATAAAAATATGTATATATATTTATATGGCTGGGAATGTGGCTCAGTGGTAGAGTGTTTGCTTAGCATGCATAAAGCCCTGGATTCAATTCCTTAGTACCACAGAAACAGAAAAATCAGGAAGTGGTGCTGTGGCTCAAGTTGTAGAGTTCTAACCTTGAGCAGAAGCAGCTCAGGGACAGTGCTTATGCCCTGAGTTCAAGCCCTATGACCTGCAAAAAAATAAAATATAAAAAATTTATAGTCCAGGGCTGGGAATGTGGCTCAGTGATAGAGTGCTTGCCTTGCATGCATGAGGTCCTGGGTTTGATTCCTCAGCACCACATAAGCAAAAAGCCGGAAGTGGCGCTGTGGCTCAAGTGGTAGAGCGCTAGCCTTGAGCTGAAGAGCTGAGGGACAGCGCCCAAGCCCAGAGTTCAGACCCCACGACCGGACCAAAAAAAAAATTATAGTCCATATACACATTGGACTGTAGCAATAATTTAGGCTGGTCCAGGTACAATCCAGAATTATATATTGTACCTGATTGCCATGGCTCTAGGTTCCTGCGGTCTAGCTGGTTTCAACCTGAGGTTTACATATATTTTCTAGATTTTTCTCTTCTTTAAGACTCTCTAGACCCTGAGAGGACAAGAGTGAACCTATGTCCCCTAGCACTGTGCCTGGCAATGTATGAATGTGAATGACAGGCCCCTGGTGGTCCCCTGGCACTTTTCCCAGCTGGTTGTTTTTTGTTTGTTTGTTTTTGCCAGTCCTGGGGCTTGAACTCAAGACCTGGACACTGTCCTTGAGCTTCTTTTCCTCAAGGTGAACGCTCTACCACTTGAGAGCCACGGTGCCATTTCCAGTTTTTTCTGTTTATGTGGTACTGAGGAATCGAACTCAGGGCTTCATGCATGCTAGGCAAGCATTCTACCGCTAAGCCACATTCCCAGCCCCCAGCTGGTTCTTAACCTCACATTCAGGTAACTTTTCCAGGGCACCTCCTGTGGTCCTTGGTCTATACTGGGCTTGTAAGAGGTTATAGCTGGGGCTCAGGTAAACAAGGAAGACATGGAGTAGGTACCCATTCAAATGCTGCATGAGGAGCCAGTGAGGGCTGCAGGCCAGGCATGGGGGTGGGCAATTGGAGAGGAGTTCTGGGAGAATCTGGCTGTCCCGGGGCCCTAGTGGGTAGAGAAAATAGGAAGGGTGGAAGCGGAAGTTCCTGTTGCCATTGGGAAGGAAGGGAAAGCCTCAGAGAACAGAGGCAAGAGGGAGACCCCTGGACTGGGAGTGTTGGGGTCCCAATAACCCACCACTATTCTCCCAGGCCCACAATATGGCAGCCTGGAGCGGGCCTGGGGTGCCATCATGACCGAGGCGGACAAGGTGAGCGAACTGCACCAGGAGGTAAAGAACAACCTGCTGAACGAGGACCTGGAGAAGGTCAAGAACTGGCAGAAGGACGCCTACCACAAGCAGATCATGGGCGGCTTCAAGGAGACCAAGGAGGCTGAAGATGGCTTCCGCAAGGCCCAGAAGCCCTGGGCCAAGAAGATGAAGGAGGTGCCACATTAGGGTGGTCATGGGGAGGCCCCAGGAAGGGTGTCTGTTCCCGGGAGATTGCACCTACAGGGGAGCAGCGCCACCTTCAGGAAGAACTGTCCCCAGGCAGGCAGACAACACTCCATGGCAGAAACCCAAGGAGAATGGATGTGACCCCAAGAAAGAGAGCAATGTAGGGGGATGCACTGCGCTTGCTGCCAGGCAGGAAGGTGTCCGTGGGGACAGCAGCAGTGCCAGGCAGGGAAATGTCTTCAGATGAGGGCACTGCTCCCTGACAGCTGGAGCCAAGGCTAGCGGTGCTCTGCCTCTTAGAAATTCAAGCGCATGGCTTCCTGGGAGATGAATAGGGAAACAGAGTTGATGAGTGACCGGCACATCATCTGCTCCTGCTCCTCTGCCCCTGTCCACAGTTGGAGGCAGCCAAGAAGGCTTACCATTTGGCCTGCAAAGAGGAGAAGCTGGCCATGACCCGGGAGATGAACAGCAAGACGGAGCAGTCTGTCACCCCCGAGCAACAGAAGAAGCTTCAGGACAAAGTGGACAAGTGCAAGCAGGATGTGCAGAAGGTGCGGCCTGCATAGGGGTGGCAGCGGGGGTCCGAGGGCCCCTGGTGTGCGGGGGAGAGGGAGTTGCAGGCCTGGCATGGTCTCACTACCGTCTCCCCTGATACCCACAGACACAGGAGAAGTATGAGAAGGTGCTAGAAGATGTGGGCAAGACCACACCCCAGTACATGGAAGGCATGGAGCAGGTGTTTGAACAGTGCCAGCAATTTGAGGAAAAGCGGCTGGTCTTCCTCAAGGAGGTGCTGCTGGACATCAAACGTCACCTCAACCTAGCAGAGAACAGCAGGTACTGGGCATGGCGGGCGTGCAGGGGCAAGCACAGCCAGTAGAGGGCAAGTGGCGAGCAGGTATCCCTGGCCCGCACAGCAAGGGGAGGGCAGACCTGCAGGGCTCCAAACGCAGCTGCTGCCCCGGTGCCAGCTGATACATGCTGAGTACTCTAGAAACCTGGGCTTGGGTGCTGGGGGCTTAGCTACTGCAGGGTGAAGGGAGCTGATTTGGCATGCCTGCTCCTCAAAAAGCCCACTGGAGCCAGACGCTTGTGGATCCCACTGGTAATCCTAGCTACTCAGGAGGCTGAGATCTGAGGGTTACGGTTTAAAGCCAGCTTGGGGAGAAAAGTTTGTGAGACTCTTATCTTTAACCACTAAAGCCAAAAATTGAGCTGCGGCTCAAGTGGTAGAGCACCAGTCTTGAGCAAAATACTTAATTGAGAGCCCCAGTACTGACACAAGTCTGAAATCCTAGCTACAGAAATCAGAGATAGATGATTAAGGCCAGCCCAAAGAAAAAGACATTCATGAGACTCCATCTCAATCAGAGGTTGGGTGTGCCACATGACAGGGTACTTGCGTACAAACTTCATGCCTTGAGTTTAATCCCAACTTCAATCTGCCAATAATAATAGTAGTAGTAATAGTAATGGTAACACAGAGGATTCCTGATTAAGGACATGTCCAATGTCATTGTCCCCCCAAAACAATGAGAAAGAGCTGTGGTAAATCTGTATCCTCCACCTCCCCATCTCCTCGTGCACAGCTACATCCACGTGTACCGTGAGCTGGAGCAGGCCATCCGGGGGGCTGATGCTCAGGAGGACCTCCGATGGTTCCGCAGCACCAGCGGCCCTGGCATGCCCATGAACTGGCCCCAATTTGAGGTGAGAAAATGTAAGGGTGGAAGGAAGGTCTTGGTTTGAAAAGACTCGGAGAATCCTCGGGGTATAGCCCTCCCAGCCTGTTCTCTGCCCTCCCCCCGCCAGGAGTGGAACCCAGACCTCCCCCACACCGCGGCCAAGAAGGAGAAACAGCCCAAGAAGGCAGAGGGGGCGATGCTGAGCAATGCCGCTGGGGCGGTGGAGTCCACGTCCCAGGCTGGGGACCGCGGCAGGTGAGTGCCTGCTGTCAAGCTGGAGCAGAGAGGCTCACATGCTGGCGTCAGTGAGTTTCCCTCCAGGAGAACAGATATGGTTAGATCATACCAACCATTTGTAGGGTGCAGGGAGCTGATCTGTATGGATCCCTGCTGTGTGGAGGACACTGCTAAACATGTTCCTTATACTGACTGGTTCAAGCCTTCTACCTCACTGGAAAGTGCATGATGCCCATTTTATGGATGCAGAAACAAGACCCAGAGAGATTAGGTTGAGGAGTCCACAGCCACACAGATAGTTAGTGAGCCTCAGGAGGTCTTGCTCCAGGATCCTCACTCTTCCCCATTTGATTCTTCTCCGGCAAAAAGTCTGGTCCATTACTTTACCACTCAAGAGCTAAAATAATAATGCAAAAGGATCTGCCTGACTTCCATTTAGAGCTGATTTGAGGATCACTGGCTCCAGACCCCATCTTAGGAGGCCAATCCCTGTTCCAGCCTTGGTAGAATTCGGGGGTGGGTGGGAAGCCCTGGTTAGGAGGGGGTACCTCTAAGAGGGGTAGGGCTGGGGTTATTCTTGAGGGGTCTTCCCTCTGCATTTCAGTGTCAGTAGCTATGACAGAGGCCAGCCCTATGCCGCCGAGTGGTCAGATGATGAGAGCGGGAACCCCTTTGGGGGCAATGAGGCCAATGGCGGTGCCAACCCCTTCGAGGATGACAGCAAGGGAGTGCGTGTGCGAGCGCTCTATGACTATGATGGCCAGGAGCAGGATGAACTCAGCTTCAAAGCCGGTAAAGTAGGCGGGGCAGGGACCCACAGGGAGATCTGGGCATGGATTGGGTGTGGGAGAGTGGGTAGGGCCTGAGGAAGAGACCAGAGCCAGGATTGGGTATGGGATTGAGGGCGGGGTCTGAGGAGAGGACTTCGAGGATTTGCTGGGAATGGGCCAGGACAGGATCTGTATTGAGGGCAGGGCCCAGACCAGATTAAGTGATGGCTCAAGGTAGGTCAGAGCCCCGTGCCAGAGGCTGCACAGAGATATTGGGTGGGACTGGAATGGGGCTAGGCCAGAATCTTAAGACCCAAGTCAACAATTTAGAGCATAATGGGAGGGGGCAGTGGAGGGCTGGTCCCTCCACTGGGGACCAGTGGTGGGGTGGCTCCTCCCCAAGCTCCTGTCAGCACAGGCTACTTGCATCTCCCTTCCCAGGAGACGAGCTCACCAAGCTGGGAGAGGAGGATGAGCAGGGCTGGTGCCGCGGGCGGCTTGACAGCGGGCAGCTGGGCCTCTACCCTGCCAACTACGTGGAGGCCATCTAACTGCCCTGCCCACTCCACAACCCCACCTCCTCACCCACCACCGCCCCTCCCTTCCCACCCTTGTCTCCTCCTTGCCATAGAGTTCCAGACATATTTTCCGATCAAGCTTTTATTTTTTTAAAAGTCAAAACAGAACAAAAGAAAAAAAAATACAAAGAGACAGAGCATTTGCAGGGTCACCTGGAGGCCAGGGTGGTGGGCTTAGCGCGATGGCCCCAGGGTCGGGGAGGGTCTTAGGACCTAGTCCAACATCACAACATCTGCTCTTCAGAGTCCACCAAAGAGTCTCCTGAGCCCTGAGGGATGTCTTCTGGACCCTTCTATCCTGCCTCACTGCCCCTCCTCCACCCCACCCCCAGGCTGCCAGCACCTGCCCCTGTTGTCTGAGGCTGGCTTCCTAACCTCTCCTCTCCCCATTTCCGCCCCTCCCCCAGCTTCTAACACCACCCCATTCTCAAAGGCCTTTCCTCTAGACCCCAATAAGGGAGGCCTCCCAGCCCTTAGTCTTCCACTCTGCCCTGGACGAGCCCTTCTTCTCCTCAGCCCCAGTCTTGGGACCTGTGGGGCTGGAAGAGTCATCATCCTTCCCTACAGAGGTCTGTAGCAGGTCCCTAAGTCATGGTGAGTGATCGGCTGGAGGATGTAGAGGAAGTGAGCATATAAGAAGGTGAGGGGAGGTGGACATGGCCCTCAGCCCAGGCTGTACCAACCCTCCAATGCTAGCCTCATCTGAGGGACCAAGACCCTGTATGGGCTCTTCTCTCCTGCCAGCATTGTGGTGAGAGGCTCTTCATCAGAGCCACGCTCACCCAGTAGCTTGCAGAGGTTTTGCCCCTTCCCCCTCGTAAGTCTTTTGACACCAGGCGGAGCTTAACCCCCAAACCCAGGGCAAAGCCAGCAACAGTAGCAGCCTCCTCCCATTTCCTGGGGAGGAGGCCTCCTGCCCACCCATCTACCCTCTACTATAGACTCACTGGGCTTAGCATCCTCCGTGAAACCATGGCTTGTGCCTGCATAACTCTTGGCCTAAACATTCCTTCCACACCCTCCAAGTCTGCTTGGGAGATGGAGGGCTCATGGGAGCTTCCAGGCTGGGTCCATCAAGGGAAGCCTGAAGCTGGGATTGGCAGAAAGGAGATCTGGCCTTCCGAAGCAAGATGGTTCCCACATCTTCCTTGTTACTACACCCACCACCAACATTCCTTTTGCTCCCCATCTCCCCAAGCCTGGGTCTCAGTTAAAAGCCCCTGGGGTAGGAGAGATCCTTTGGTTGTCAATAGCAGTGACACCAGAGTACTAGGTAGCAGCTCTCCTCGGGTGTAGATTGGGATTGGAAGGCAGACTGAGGGAGGGACAAGACCCCAAGTGGTAGACAAGAGACAGCAGAAGCAGTTTCTTGGAGACCTCTGGGGCCTGAGCCTGAGAAGTCTGTCCACAGGAATTTGCCACTGTTTGGCTTCTGGGCTGCAGCCGTCCATGCCCTTCCCTCTCACCCCAGGTGGCCTCGGCCTCCAGATAGAGTGTGCTACCCCAGCCTCTCCACCTTGGGTTAGGAAGTAGTAGAGCCCAGCTCTGCTCTGCTTCCTGGGGGTTCTTACAGTCCTGGCAGCCCTGGCAGAGGGCTACAAGCCCGGGCACCTAGCGTGGAGCACTCCAGGGACAGGCACGCACCCCCAGCTGCCAGCACCCCTTTCTTAATCACTGTCTGATCTCTGGCCTCTCTGCTGCAGTCTGAGATGTGGGCCCTGGGCCCCTCAGAGCCTGAAGCCAAATGCTGAAGGCCACAATCACCCGACCCACCCCCAGAGCTCCTGCTTTCCCCCCAGGCAGAAGGCAGCGGGAGCCTGAAAAGCAAGAAGCCGCCACACTTGCACCTTGGGGCCTGGGCTCCCCCTTTCTGTGCTACCGGCTTCCCAGTACCTGGGTAGGGGCTGTGACCCTGGCTGGACCCCAGGCCTGTCCCTCTCAGACCCTGGCTGCCCACTGCAGGGCAGGGACTGGAAAACGTATCCCCTTTGGAGCAGCAATCTCCATAGCTCCGTTTGGGATTCTCTCTCTCTCTTTCTCTCTCTCTCTCTCCCCCCCCCCCCCCGGGTCCCCAAGCTCCTTAGGACCCCAACTTGGGAGGGTCTCCTACCTGTAAGTCTCCTGAGCCTGGGGCCTGGCGCCACCTGTCAGCGCTGGTGTCAGGGCGCCCACAGCGAACACGGGGCCAGGCGCCTTGCTGGGCCCACACCTCGTCCAGGAGCCCCAGCCCGCTGCACCCTTGATGCTGCACGGGCCGCCCTGGCGGGGCTCAGCCAGTAATGTGTTTCAGTTAACCACCATTCCGCAGCCTGGTTGTGCCAGGAGCCAGAGCTGCCCTGCCACCCGCCACCGCCGTCCGCCACCCTCGGCTTCCTGATTCCATTAGTCCTCCACTTGTGAAACTCCGAGAAGTGCTGTGCTCTCAGCAATGCACCTGTTTTGTACATGATTGTGTAATTTAAAGGTATATAAATACAAATATATATATCTATATATCAGTTGTGACTGTATGACTGTGGATAAAACCCAGAACTGTGTCAATCTGCCTGGACGTGTCAATCTTGAGTCTGTGTGTCTTCAGTCCTGGGTGGGGTGGGGGTGGTGGGCCCTCTGAGGACTCCGTGGTGGGCTGTCTGTTAGGCATGTGGACCCTGGCCTGCAAGATGTAGTCTTGGCTGACCATCATGAACCCAAGGGACTGAGGGCTGAGCTTCTCACCACCTAGGGTCCCAGGTCTTGTCTGTTTAGTCTTGTTAAAGACCTCTGAGGTTCTGGCCTCAGGTGCTGGGCATCTAGTGACAGTACTGACCAGGTAAGCCAGGACACTCAGGTCCCAAATTCTTGGTTCAAGGGCTGGGGTACAGCTCAGTGATGGAGTGCTTGCCGAGCACACCTGAGGCTCTGGGTTTCATCCCAGCCCTGCAAAATAAATAAATATGCCACGTTCATGGTTCATGGGTGAACTCAGGGCCTCATGCTTGCTAGACAAGCACTTAGCACCATGCCACCAGCCCTAGCCTCCAAGTTGGGATTTCTTTTCTTCCTTTTTTTGAATTGTCTTTGGCTTTGTGTCAGTCCCAGCTAGATTTCTTCTGGAACGAGACCTGAGTCACAGGTTCAGCCTGGATCCCATTTCAAGGTGGCTCTAGATGGCCGTGGCTATCTTCCTACCCAGTCTCCTCCCCAGTCCTGCTTGAGCTGAGGCCCAGGCCTAGCTGGGATACCCAAGCAGGTGTCTCCAGGGACTTGTGGGAGGCAGGGCAGGCAGGGTGGAGACAAAACTAGTTCGGCAGTGCTGAGCCTAGTTCTGGCCAGGGTCCCAGTGTGTCCCTCCTTGTGGGATGGGAGACAGCCGGGATCCAGCCAGGCACAGGCCTGAGGCAGGGCCCCTCCTGCTCTGGGTCCAATCCCAGCTGACAGATGCCAGAGTGCTGTTTGCTCAGTGCCAGGAGTGAACTTTCTACAAGACAATAAAATGGCTGGAGGCAGAAGTTAGCAATACAGGGCAAGGATTAACCCTTGGTGGTCTGAGTGGCATGGGCTACCTGCCTTGCCTCTTGGAAGACTGGCCTCAGAAGCTAAGAGTATGACACGGTGAGATGCAGGCCAGTCCTGGAGCAGGTAGGGTGGAGGGGCAGGCAGAGCCTTGTCCTTGGGGAGCGATGGCATGGGTTCAGCTCCAGATTCTGCTATTCAATTCCAGATGAGCCGTGTGGCTGAGCATCACCTAACCATTTTGCTGTTCTTTTGCAAAATGGGAGACACCTACTTCATAGTTGAAATCAATGACAAAAAAGCCAGCACATAATAAGCCCTCAGGACACGTGAATAAACTTTGGGGAAATATGAGGAGGCTGTGTTGTCAGGAGAGTGGATGGTAGGCCTGGTCCCCCACCATGCGCAAACACACCCCTCGCTCCCCAGCACTGAGGGCAGTTCTCACATCCACGCCCTGGGTTCCCAGCTTCATGGACGGCACCGGTGGGGTCTTCACGAAGCAGAAACTGCAAATAAGCCTCGCTCTCTTCCACTGAGTACACAAAGCCAGGGTCTAGAGACAAGGGCTTGGGCCCCCTGGCCCATCCCAGGCACCAGGCACTGCCTGACAGTACAGCAAGATGCAGAGGCCTCCCTCCTCTCTCTAGACCTGTGTGCTGGCCCTCCTTCCCAGCCCACTCCCCCTTCCAGCCCGCGCGGGATGAAGGATACTAGATGATCTAGCCTCTCCTCAGCCTGGAGGGCTCATTGCCTCCTCCCATAAGCTTCTTCCAACCAGCTAGTCCTTAACTTTTAGTCACAGCTCAGTGCCACATTCTCCCAGGAGGTTTCTCCTGACCATCACAGGCCCCGATGACCACAACCACTTTTGTTCTGTTGTTGTGTTTTGTTTTCATGCCTGTACTGAGACTTGAACTCGGGCCCTAGGTGTTGTCTCTTTTTTTTTTGGTACTGGAGATTGAACCCAGGGTATTGCACTTGTTAGGCAAGTGCTTTGCCACTGAGCTACATCCCAGCCCTGTCCCGTAACTTTTTTGCTCAAGGCTGGCACTCTACCACTTAAGCCATAGCTCCACTTCTCTTTGCTGGTTAACTGGAGATAAAGATCTCACAGACTTTTTTTTTGGCTTGGGCTGCCTTCCAGCCAAGATTCTCAGATCTCAGCTTCCTAAGTAATTAGGATTATAGGCATGAGCTACTGGCACCTAGCCCACAACTACTTTTGATCACTGATGGTCTCTGAGCTGGACTATTCTGTGCCCAGTTACTGGGGACTTGTCAGTTCTCTTGTATCTTTATTATTTATTTCTGGGCAACCTCTGGCTCCTCAACTCAGGGTACTGAAGATGTCTCTTAGCACTCTGCCAAGCATGGTGCAGAATGGGTGGGCAAGGATGATGTAGAAGAGAGAAGGTGGCACCGCAAATGGCCGTGGTTAAGTCCCTGCCATACTGCAGGCTCTGCTCTGGGAATTTCAGTGAATTTAAGGCCAAGAGAGGATCTTCCCCTGGGAGCAGCCTGGCTCCCTCTGTCTTCCAGGGGACAGTGCATATGAGTGGTAAGGCCTAAGAGGAAGCATCCCCGTCCCGGGGTCCCAGAGAGCTCCCTTAAGCCCTGGGAGCAGCAGCTATTCCTCAAGCTCAGGGCCTGGTGGAGACAGAGGTGGGCAGGAGGGAGGGCTCTCTCAGCTCTCAGATGGGGTGCACAAATTGATAGACAAGGCGCTGGGAGATGTCTGGCTTGCGGATGATGCCTTTCTTGTAATACTGGCGGATGGAGCGGCTCAGCTTGTCATAGTTCATGGCAGGCCGGTTCTTGCGGATGCCCCACAGCCGGGCCACCTGAGCAGAGTCCTCAATTTTGAAGATGCCTAAGGGAGCAAAAGAGATCAAAGAAGGCCAGAGTATACACGGAAGGCATCAGCAAGAAAGATGAGACCAGCAGGTCAATCTTGTGGAAAACTCAAGGAACCAGTGTTAAGGCCTTCTTCAGCTCTAGGCAGGGGCTGTGTGGACCAGGACCCTGGCCAGAGTAAGGGTTAAGTTTCTGTATGCAAACATGTTCTATAGGCTCAGTAAATAGCTGAGAATGCTATGAAGTCACCAACTCCTGGTGTACCCATACAAGTGCTCACATGCACACTAAGTATGGTAGCCATGTGTAGTTCTTGGGCAGTTGAGCACTGACAAGCCTCATGTAGCTAGTCTCAATTGAGATGCCCTGGATATGTGATTTTTTTTTTTTTTGGATCAGTCATGGGGCTTGAACTCTGGGCCTGAGCACTGTCCTTCAGCTCTTTAGCTTGAGGTAAGTGCTCTACCACTTGAGCCACAGCTCCACTTATAGCTTTTTCTGCTTATGTGGTATGGACGAATCGAACCCAGGGCCTCATGCATGTGAGGCAAACACTCTACCACTGAGCCACCTTCCCAGCCCCTGATTTTTTTTTTTTTTTGTTGGTCATGGGACTTGCACTCTGGGCCTGGGTGCTGTCTCTCAGCTCTTCAGCTCAAGGCTAGTGCTCTACCACCTGAGGCACAGCTCTACTTCCAGTTTTCTGGTAGTTAATTGGAGATAAGAATCTCATGGACTTTTCCTGCCCAGGCTGGCTTTGAACTGAGATCCTCAGACCTCAGCCGCCTGAATAAGATTACAGGCATGAGCCAATGGCACCCAGATATATATATATTTTTTTATTAGGGATAGGCTTGAACTCTGGGTCTGGGCTCTGACCCTCAGCTCTTTTTGCTCAAGGCTAGCACTGTACCACTTTGAGCCACTGCATTACTTCTGATTTTCTGGTGGTTAGTTGGAGACAAGAGTCTCATGGAGGGCTGGGAAGGTGGCTCAGTGGTAGAGCGCATGCTTTGCATGCCTGAGGCCCTGGGTTCGATTCCTCAGCACCACATAAGCAAAAAGAAAAAAGCCAGAAGTGGAGCTGTGGCTCAAGTGGTAGAGCGCTAGCCTTGAGCTGAAGAGCTGAGGGACAGCGCCCAGGCCCAGAGTTCAGGTCCCATGACCGGACCCAAAAAAAAAAAAAAAGAGTCTCATGGACTTTTCTGCCCAGGATGCCTTTGAACTCCTCAGATCTCAGCCTCCTGAGTAGCTAGGATTACAGGTGTGTGCCACCAATGCCTGGCTTGGAAATGGAAACTATCTTAACACATGAGATTTCTTTTAATTTTTTTTTTTTTTTTTGGGTCCGGTCGTGGGGCCTGAACTCTGGGCCTGGGCGCTGTCCCTCAGCTCTTCAGCTCAAGGCTAGCGCTCTACCACTTGAGCCATAGCGCCACTTCCGGCTTTTTTCTTTTTGCTTATGTGGTGCTGGGGAATCGAACCCAGGGCCTCATGCATGCAAGGCAAGCGCTCTACCACTGAGCCACCTTCCCAGCCCAACACATGAGATTTCTAAGTAAGACTTAGCCAAGTAATCTCAAGAATTTTTTACACTTATTATATGTTGAAAAAAAAAGTGTCTCGGCTATGGAGGTTTTAGGATCTTAGAGTATTTGCATAAACTTACTGGTTGGTTAAGCATCCCTAAACAAATCAAGATTTGAATTTTGGATTTTTAGATTAGGGATGTGCAACGTATCTTACTAAAATTAACTCACTTTTTTTTGCTGTTTCAAATGTTCCGAATGTGGCTACTAGAAATTTTCGTATTAGACCTGTGGCTCGGGTTGCATTTCCCCTTTCTTCCCTCACCCCTCCACAATCAACGAAGGACAAGGGCAGCAGGACACCGTTCCCTACAGGCTGAACCCCTGCTGTGTTGTATCTAGCAGGAACCCTGTGCTCTGAGGGTCCTAAACAGGATGGGGCGTGGCCAGGAGAAGGCTGAAGACTCAGGCTGACCCCAGCCCCTGGGGCTGGACTCAGCCCCAAGGAGCGCCTCCAGCCTCCAGTGAGGTAAGGAACAAAAGGCGGAGTTTCTAGGCCCTCCTCCCAAAGCCACGCCCCTCGATCCCCGCCCATCAAGCCCTCGCCCCGCCTCTATCCCCCTCCCACCAACCACACCCACTCCTAAGCC